TTTAATATTAAGCAGCTCAACTATTTTCAACATCAATTCTAAGAAGTGTTTCTTGAGCAGCAAATCAGCATATTTGAATTATTTCTGAAGGATCATGTGACACTGAAGACTGGAGTAATGATGCTGAGAATTCAGCTTTGCATCACAGGAATAAATGACATTTTAAATGTATTCCTACTGACCCCAAACTTTTGAACTGCAGTGTACATACAGTATATTTGTATATATAATCTGATATCTAATGCAATAACATAAATTTCCTTAATTGTCCAGATACTTCTTGTGCATGTCAAGTTCCCTGTTCCTTGGCACAAGCCAATCTGAAGAGGAAGTCAGCTTCTGGCTTTTGCAGTGTCTTCAGAAATCACTCTGACCCCATGTGAGGAATTTGACCCATTCTGCTTTGCTGCTGACCACAGAGAATCCCTCAGGCTGAAAGAGGGGAGAAGTCCAGCTTTCTACCCTTCTTTTTATCAGGCCTCCAGGCTCTTCCTCTATCCATCCTTTACTATGGTTGTCTGTATGTCTATGCGCAGTTTGTACATCGGTTAGCCTCAATGGAATGTGTGTGTGATCAACCTTGGATTGGATTTCTAGATATCTGGAATCCGTGCAAATCAGTTTTGTTCCAGATTTTTTTTTAAAGAAGGAGAAAAAAAAAGATTCAGTTATAATCCAACATCTCAGGCTTCATCTCTTTCATGTAGGTTGGGGAAAGATTTATATTTCCTTATGAATCTCGTGCTGCGAGGAACCAGGTCCCCATAGTAACGGCGGAATGGCATCAGTGCAAACAGCCATTATGGATGAGCGTGTTGCAAACGCTCGAGCACAATGGTGACCGAAAGGACCGTGTTCCATTTATCATGACGTTTGAGACCTGAAAGAGAAACTGTCAGTGTTACCTCGGCGGAGGTCGTCACGGCGATGTCCCCCCAAGGCCTGGACGCATTATTCAAACGCGAAGAATCCAATAGAGATGCTCCACTATAAACACTTGCACGTGAAGATGGTGAGAGAGAATTGGTCTTGAAGTGAGAAGCCCTAAGAGACCCAAAACACCCTTTTGAGATTTATATGTGGGGAGGTCAGGGGTCAAGCAGCCATTAATCAAGGCCAAAGAAAAGGATTAAATAGCCAGGTCTCGCGGGCAGATGAGAGAGAGGCTGATTGAGGCGTTTAAAAGAGTGTGTTGTGTCTGTCTTAGATTACAGAGTGCGAGCCGTAGGCTAAACATCCATCTGAACCACGGCAGAGCGCTTACACTCTATAATCAGCAGGCCAAAGGACCTCTATACAGTGGGCAGTCATACATCACAAAATCCCTCATGAAGCGCACAGGGAAAGTCAGTGGTACTGCAGTTTAGAAAAACTCTTTCTTATTTAGAAAAAGATTTATTATTATCATTTTTGTGCATATGGTACTTTAACAAAATCATCCTAAAGTACAGCGGCCTATAGCGGACTACAGCGGACATGTATGTATCTTCTGTTGTTTCCGAAGCGCAGTACTAAATGAAAAAAATATATATATTTAAACAAAATAAGAAAAATTTGGACATCTTCATCCTGTTAAAAGGTTTTCATGCCACTTATAGTTCTCACAAGCCACTTATATATATATATATGTATGCTTGAATAGTATGTGCTCTTTCTTTTAAAAATAATTGTCACTTGTTTTGACATTTTGTTATCGATCACAGTGACATTCATACATTATAAAGCAAAGCTTAAGTGTCCATATATTTTAGTGGCCACTGTATGTGTCATCACCAGAGCTGTACGATGCACAGGAGGTGGTTTCAATTTGGTCTTGTTCAGAGACGTGACCGCACATAGCGAGGGCCAATTTCACTTTTACTTGCGATGTTCTCGCTGATATTTCCAAGGCATTGTTGATTATCATTCTTACATCTATGTAAAATAAGAGTGAAATTTTTATAATTTGCATTCACTGGTTGCTTGAGATTCCTTGCGCCGTTTCTGGAGAGGTGTTACGCAAAAAACACCCTCCTGCTGAGCCTCTGTAGGAAATGTTACAATCGAGCCGTGCTTCAGATAATAATCATCATTTATGCCATCGTTCTGCTTCAGATAACTTCAAAATTTGTATGTAGAGCACATAAGCGTACAAATACAAGTTTGTGCCATGGCTCGTGGCTTATGTCATCACCCACCATCATTGATTTATAGGTTCAGATGGTGTCCAGAAGCCGTACATCAACAGACACTAACATGCCTCATTTGTGCAGTCCATAGAGTGACAGATAACTACAGCCACATTTCTCTTTCCTGATATAGATTGTCTCCGTACTGTGCAACTTGTCACAATCTGAGTGTCTCGATTGAAAGTTGCACATGAAGTCACGGACCACTGTGAATGTAAAGGTCTGCTTAGAACAAAAACTGCCAATACTGGTTAAACTACCTGGTGGTGAGACTTAGTGTGACACCCGGAGGGTGTGAAGGGGGAAAAACACACACCACAGTGTCCCTCACATCCACGCACCCTCATCTGAGCCCAGTCACGGCCGCTTTAGGTTTATTGCACAGCATAGACAAACGGCTTTGATCTCTAATGCGCAGTGCGCTGCATTAATTATGAATCATTCCCCCATCCGAACTGCGGAGAACACCTTCAAACACTCAGCGAGCGATGCAGTGTTTTCGTAGGCCCCCAGGTTGGCTCCAGGACTGCATGTATATATACATTTATCTGCATGAACAAAATAAGAGAGCTTTGCAAAAAACTTCTGCCGTGCCTCAGAAGTATTCTGCTCCTGGACGGCCGCCAACATTTTTTAGCCCACGGTTACTCATGCTGCTAGGAATTCTCATATACTACATCACCAAAAGCCTCTTCCATGTGCGCGCTATTCGTAACTCAGTGGACAGATCCCCGGGAAGCTAAGACAGCTGTGTGAAGTAACGATAAAGCTGGGCGACGATATCCAATTGACCGGGTGTAATATTGAATAAATGACCTAGTTCTCTCTGGGCTAATATGGATCCTGTAGTGCCGCATGCTGCTGTAGAAAACTGGCTGCAAGGCCTGTTCCCTAGTGGCAAAGTCGGATTCATCCGCAACAGTTACATTGATTCATTTTTTTAGTGGATAGGGATATGAATGACAGGAATTTTTTTTTTTTTTTTAAATGGTGAGGTTGTGTGCATAGTTTACTGTAAACACATGCAAACAGAGCAGTATTTGTAAAGTATTGTTTTATCAATTCCCTCATCCTCCAGAAAACAAGGGCACCACAACACAGCCTTCACAGCATATTATATCCATGACCTCTTAACGTGATCTCGCCAAGCTCTTAATGCATCTCCTAGTGTGGACAACTAGAATAATAAAATAATCCAAGCTAAAGAGGAAAGATTTAAATAACAACTAAATGTAAATAATAATGCAGCTGAAGAATTGTCACTGATAGAAGACATCCAATATGTCACATACATTACATTAATAAATGTGTAAAGTAAAAAAAGATATGGTGACACATTGACGCATGACATTCTTTTTATTTTTGCTCACAAGCCACAGTGGCTAGTGGTTTTCCAAAGTTACTAGCCACTCAGCATTTTCACTGGCCACAATTTTTACATCAATACTATGGGAAAAACGTCTATATAGATATTTTTAATATTATCTCATAATTTGACAGCAGGTAAATTAGGCCGCTGTCACTTTAACACTTGACGCACAGATCCATTATAGGCCAACTGTTACACGTGTTTTCTTTCTCAACTGTTTACGTTCACTTAAACCAGAACTGACTGTGTTTACGTGAATACTCGTCAAGACCAGCATTTTGACATTATTTTGTGTAGCTATCAGATATTTCAGTATAGATATGTATCGAAAAATATATGTTTGACAACATGTTTGATTACATTGCACTTAGTTTATTATTTCAGATCAATTTTTAAAGTCCCCCTGTAGTCAATAATTGTATCCCATTAAACTCATCTTTGATCACAAAAATGACATTTTTCCTGTGAAATTTTTTTTATTCATGCCGCCTCCACTCACTCATACAGGCTCGTTCTCATCTACAAGTCGATATATCAGAATGGTAATGTGTTTTATGTATCGCTCTCTACAACGTCGGACACATAACGTTACTGTGATTAGCCTTTGGCTTGACTACGTTATCAAACAGCTAATAATGTGTTGCTAATGTTACACAAACCATGTTCCCATTCGCCATCTCAGAGTCACACAGCTGCTTTCTAAAAATCAGCATCCTTAGAAACGCTTTGAACAACTCAGAACGTCAGTGGTGAAAGGCATCGTTTATCATAACATTGTAATATCATATACATAATTCACCTGCTATATTGCTAAATGTACCCGATTTATCATGTCAACAAAAAAATATACCGGGATAACCAGCTTCGCAGCAGTTAATGATATATGCTCACGTTAATGTGATGAGTTACAAGTTTCTGATGTATAACAGCGATTTCATTTTTTTTCATTCCAGTTTTAAGGAGAAAATACTCCGCAATGGTGTTGGTTTATGTATTTGGATGCACATGGATTGTCTTAAAGCATGTTAAAAACACCACATAGACATATAAACAACATTAAAAACTTGATTTTCACCACAGGGGTTCTTAATTGAAAAATATATATATTATTTATAAAATTCAACCAGCCAAAGTGGCTAGTAGGAGTGACTGCGTTACATGCCACTGTTAAAATCCTCCCACATTTGGCGGATGTTAATGTCAAGCCCTATATATATATATATATATATATATATATATATATCCTCAAATATATGCCACATATGTTTTATATATTTATTTATTTATTTAGTATTTACTTTTTTTTGTGCATACAATGCTTCTTATTCAAGGAAACATTTTTTACAAATTTGTATTACTAGCTTCTTCAAGGCTGTAGGCAGGCAGAGCGGCACAGGAGGGGTTAACGTTCCCCTCACGCGTCGCTGCTAAATGTGCCCGCGTGAACATTAGTGGGAGTCCCCTTTACTGGGTCCCTTTGCAGTAGTGTGGACTGGAGAGTTGTAGACAGAGCCGAGCAGAAGCGTGAACAAACAGAAGTAGTGCCATAAAGTGAACATTTGACACTATCGCAAAGCTTTTCACTTTTACCGCGTGGATCCGTCTTACTGTCATCAGAGAGGGACGCCGACAGCTTACAACGCGCGCGCGTCAGCTGGCATGAGCTAACCGACCAGACATGGAAACAAAACCTTTCTTGTCATTGGGTAAGTTTACCCCCAGACTACTGAAAGATATATATTTTTTCCACCAGAGTTTCTTTGGTTTGCAAGAGAGAGTTGGAGAGTACGTTAGGCTACAGTGTTTTACTTTTTAGTCTAGCATGAGGGAGGCAAAAACAAACGCTTTAAAAAAAAGAAACATGGAATTGCTAGTTTAGATCGCTCATTATCGACTCGGGCTGTATTGAAGGTTTACATTCGTGGCGAATGGAAAGCATGTAATCATAATCAATAATGCCCAAGTCAAGTGCATGGTGTGGATCAGGACATTTGTTTTTAAATCAAACTAAAGGTAAACACAAAAGTTGGGCGTGCAAACGAGGTGGCACGCGTTCGGACAGTGACACCTCATTTAGTATCTCGCTTACTCATTAAATGTTTTAATCTTGATATGCGGTATGATTTAACATTGATAGTGTCGTGTTTTTAAGGCTGTGTTGCAGAATTGAAGCTCATGCAATCTAATACGTGCAGGTATTGGATTCTCGCGCATAATTTCTGGAAAACAGAAAAATGCAGACGTGTGTAGGATTCTTCGTATTTACAAACGCAAAGCAACATCGCGCATCAGTCAAAAACTTAGCGAAAAAATATAACGTTACATTCCTTTTGTTTGAAAGCGTCGGACGTCTGTAAGAATTCATTAAATCTCAAACAGCTTTGCCATGCTACTGAAAGAAAAAAGCGGGTTAGCTTCAGCGAATATTTTTGTTTTTCATCTGTAAATAAATCTGTACTTGCAGAAAGCACACATTTGATCAATTTCCTTGCACTTTGGTCTCAAATAATGCCGCGAGCTGAGCACCGTTTGTGTATGAGATAGTTTAGTTGATGCGTGATTCGGTTATGAACTTGGACAAACTTTGGCGTTTTTTGTGAAGTGGAGTAGTTTACTGAGGAAAGTGACAAATCATTTCAGAGCAAGATGATTTCATTTGAAATGTATTTATTGTGACTAGATTTAATAACAAAATTACTCTGTGTCCGAGGAACAAACGTTGCTGGATGATTCAAAATGTTCTTTTTTTTAATCGACGTCTGAGGAGAAATGTAGGTGTGGTTTCCATATGATGTTATTCCATCATATTAAAGGAATAGTTCACAAAAAAAAAAAAAAATAATAATAATAATTTACTCATCCTTAATTTGTTCCAAACCTGTATGACTTTCTGTCTGTGTAACACCAAAAGTGAATTTGTGAAGAATTTTCTGTCTGCTCTTTTCAATATAACAAGTGAATGGGATCTGAGACTGTCAAGATTCATAAAAGACACAAAAGAACCATAAAGTTATCATAAAAATAGTTGAAATGAATCATATGCTGTTTTCCAAGTCCTGTGAACTGAGTTGAACAGACTGAAATTTCTACCGAAGTTGTTGTTAACTTAAAATCTTCTCCTCTATTGAGATGTTCACTGTTGAGACCTGATTATCAAATCAGTTCATCTGGTTTTGTGAACTAGAACTGATGATTAATTAAAAGATCAAACTCAAAACAACAATTCATTCACGAATCGGACATTGCTACTCTCACAACTCTCATGAAAATCAAGAGCTGGTTTGCGTTTTTATGAAAATAAATTTGAGTTGTTTTTTTTATGAGCTTGACAGCCTACATTCACTTTTTTTAAAATGAGTGTCCATATATTCTCAAACATTCATACATTCTCAAACATTAATATTCGTCCATATATTCTCAAACATTCATACATTCTCAAACATTAATATTCGTTACGTCCATATATTCTCAAACGTTCATTACAATGAAGTAATACCGATTTTAGAATGACATGAGGATGAATAAATGATAGATTTTCTTTTGTTTGTAAAACATATTCAAGGCAGTATCTATATGATTTTCCTGAAAAATGGTCTGTCTTTTTCTTTCTTTCTGTTTTTAGAAAGATCTGAGCCTCTTAAATTCCAACGGTCGGTGTGTGATTATGAAATCATTGTGCAATTTGCAGCAGTGGAGATAATGTGATATCAGTGAGTGATGCCAAAAATAGACCAATTGGCAGGAGATTTAGATAACGTGATATATAACATCTCAAAATAATTAATAACCTGGATGCAAAGCAGTTTTAAGTCTGAGTATTTGCCTTGTACATGCCTCTTACTCATGCATGAATATGTGGTTTGGCAAATGAACATGTTCTTCAATAAATGATACACATTACTCTCTTATGCATATGAGTTTACTTGCCATGCATGTAGATTAGTTCAGCCAGTCACACGTGATTCAGTTCTCACACAGAGGCCCGTATACTGTAAGTTATGTTGAATAACAAGCATGCTCTACACTTCACTCGGGAGCTATAGGCAGGACTGTTAAATTGTTTCTGTAGCTCTTTCATGCGGGAGTCGTGTTACACCTTGAATACATCATCACCCCACCGGTTCACTGAGATGAGAGACAGCAGGAATGCCGGGCTTCCCAAAACCCCCGAATGTTCCCAGCACAGTACCAGAAAAACCACAGAGCTAAGCAACATAATAGACTATTTGTGAAGGTGTGTTTAGGCTTCTCATGTGTGTTTTTATGTTGGGAAATCTGGATGTAAAAGCTCAAATTAATTTTCTGGTTTTATAGTTATATATTTCTGTAGGCATGTGTTTTAATAGTAGCAAACAAAGGTTTGTTAGTAAGATGTGTGCTTTATGCTTCACATAATCAGCACGGCTAATTTAGTCATTGTCATAAATCCTTGTCTTTTAAAAAGCTTTGGTTAAAATATTCAAATTCTATTAACCATAACTGGTTGTTAAACTTTAAACCGTTTTTTTTTTTTTAGTAAAAACAAAACAAAGCCTGAATAATGATTAATATTTTAAATAAATAAAAAATATTTTTTGTAAAAACAAAACAACAAAACTGAATAATAATTTTAAAAGATTTGAAATAATTCAAAATAATAGTTTTTAAAAATAATTCCTAAAACTTTGATCATTTAAAATAATATTTATGATCATTTTTTATCTGTTAAGATCTCTCTTTTATTTAACTTTTGGATGTACCTGATTTATATACATATATCATTTATTAACTATTTTGTCTTTTAACAAGCATATTTAGCCAAAGCTTATCATGAAAGCCAAAAAAATCCTTACCTCAAGTTTCCAACACAAGACATGTGGCTGCTTGCAAGCGGAGTGCTGTTTCCTGATGTCAAGCAGATGCACAGCTCTGACCTGCTAAAATCAGACACATAATCATTTAAACATGAATGATTACTTGTATTTACAAATGCTTTTGTGGAGGTAATTGAGCAGGGTTTCAAATTACAGCGCTAGATATACTCGTGATGTTTTTGTTCTTTCCGCAGTGTGCAGAACAGGGTGGGTTTATTCACTTCTTTTTCAGCCCAAGGGCACAGGTGCTAAATACCTTGTATTTGTCTATTTTTTTGCCTACAAGGATTTAATGAATCCTTTTATGGAAATCACAGAGGAAAGTACTAGGGACTGAAAGCTTGTATTGCATCATAAAAACACAAGCTATGGAAGTATTCTGCTTTGTGAAATCACTCCCTGTTTATCCGTAGATCATTAATTGTGCAGATCCATAGGGTGTAGATGGTTTTGTCCTTGGCCTTTTAAAGACCATAGAAGTAAACCACATTTAGTTCAACAAAAACAGTTTTTTAGGGGGTCGAGAGGAGGGTTGAGGAGCTGTTTTTGAGGGACAGGGGGTGTTTTTTTTCTCCGCCCCCATCTGTGAAGTTCATGGTCTTGATGAGAAAGTGACATTCATAGTTGAGGGGGGTGCATTCCTCTGTCAGCCGTTATTCAGGAACAAAGGTGGTGCGGTTAAAAGAGCCTTGATTTGGGGGCTGGGTGGACTGTTTACCTCTTAAACCCATAGAAGTTTTTTTTATTTTTTTATGGCAGGGCAGTTTTAGGTTTTTCGCCGGATGCTTTTTGCCCCCTTTTGTGAGCGACCTGCAGCTGTCATTTTTACTAGACAAGTTTTAAGGAGAATATTAATGGCTTAAAGAGCTGGAGCTCCCAGTACATCTTTTGTTGATGTACAGGTTGAGGTTCAAGTGTGGAGATCCACGCATCTAATTTTTATGCTTGAAGGACACAATTCAAAAACACATGTCCATGAGCTAGACCTCTTGGGTAACGTCAAAGCTTTCTGTCACGATGATCAGTCCAAGGATGAGATTTAATTCAACCACGATACAGCGTTTCACACTCAGGTTACTGATGTGTTCAGAAATGGAGCTCTAAAATGGTTGTTTATGATAGCCATGCGTCAAACCCTTGTTAATAATTTGTGAATTTTTCAGCCCCCGACCGTTGTGAGTGTTTTATCTTTAAGGGGAGCTGTGGACTATGAACCTCAGACATTGACCTCCGCTCCCCATATGTTTTATCAGCTGGAGGATTTGCTTTGGACTTCTAGATTTAAGTTTTCACAACATTACGACTGATTATAAACTATAACGGATGTTATACTCTGAACCCTCGCTTGTACATTTATCACGGTCTGATAGGACTGATATAGTGCTCTTTATGTAAAAGTAACTTACGAGAGATAAGCATTTTTTAGTTTTGTTGAATCAACTCGCTCTGGGTAAGTGAAGTTCATTCAGACTTCATTTGACTGATATGATTGAAGCTTTTATATTTTTTAAGTTATATAAGTTGTGCGTCCATAGAACAATATAGACTGTTTTGTTAATTTTGTTTTTTAGCTTTCACTACTTATTAGTATGGATAATGAGAGAAGGAAATATGATCGAGAAATGTTGCGAAGCAGATTCAAACCTGCATCCTCCGCATGAGCACCACAGCTAATGTGTCAGAGCATGTGATAACCACAAAGAGCTTTTTCCCCTTTTTTTGTTGTATTGCACTACTGTTCAAAAGTTTGGGTTCAGTAAAAAAATAAAGCAGCACAACTGATTTTTAACTGATAGTAGTAAGAAATGTTTCTTAAAGGCATAGTTCACCGAAAAATGAAAATTGTGCCATCA